TTACTTGTGAAATAAAACAATTAACCGATACTAAAATCAACGAAGTTCACTAAACAAAAAACATAAGAAATTTTATTGGACAACAGTAGGCGACCATTCAACTGGTTCACTCATGAAATCCCAGCCGAATTTAGAGGTTAAATACTTTTGAAACTTATCACATCGGGCTTGCAACACACTGTTTATATTTCTAGTAGTCTGGACATTTGTGAACAAAACATGCAGAACTGACACTAAAAAGTTGTTGGCGGATAAAATATCTACAAAAAAATCGGATGGAATTTGCTGTAGTTGAAAATGCAGAACCATCAGGAAAACTTCAAACAGTTTCGGCATTTCTGTTAGAAGTTCGTCAGAATTGCAGATTAAAGAAACAAGTTTTTTCCAATGTTCGAAAGAATCATAATTTTGACCAATCAGAAAACAGATAAAGCTGAATTGGATTTCACCAAGTATGTACAAATTATTAGTTGGATAATTCTGTTCCAATAATTTTTTCAGCCTCGCGGAGTGATCTAGATGGGAACAAGTAATTTGCTTAGCTGAAAGTCCGTCCATTTGAACTTTGTCGACCTGTGAATAGCATAACTTAGCTGTCTCCGATTCGTTCATAACAGGTAGTTTGCTTTCTGCTTCGGCGAGCGACGAGCAGACTTCGCTTATTGAATCGTCTGTTGGATTAGACTCGCGATTGTTTCTTGAGGACTTATATTCACGCGATACTAACTGAGTAGCAGAAAAGACAGGCCTCTCATCCGGACAAACTTTATCGATTATTGACTGCGAAATATATTTGGACAGTGCATTCCACTTTTTAGTTCCTTTATCTTCAACAGGACCCAATCTAGCAACCATATCTTTCCAACTCGCGATCACTGATTCTCTTTCTTCTCTCGCAGATTCCACGAACGTTTCTTGCGCTTTGTCCCACCTCCAGAACAGTCGCTCCGAAGGCTTTTGTATGGCCAGAAACTTCCCTATTCGAAGACACGACTTGATGCTGGTGTCATCCTGGGACGCCGACGACCAGTACACGAAGTGTGTTCCTGGTTGGATGTTTTTGAGACCGACAAAGTTTGGCCCACAATTCCAGTAGTTGAGATCAATGCCAACCTCAGTGCCTTTAGGAACTTCTAACATGACAATACTTGCCATCATCAATATCTAAAGAAATTACTAGATCCGTTAGAGAGTACCAATTAAATGAACCGTTTTCTATTTTCAGCCCCTGTCTACGAGCAGCTCAAAATGTAAGAAAAAGCATATTTACTAATTTTATATGACACAAAAATAATATAACCCCAGGTAAACTCAGGTACCACAAATTAAACTCAGATGGACCGAGCAATTTATCATAGAGCCCTTTCAGTCGAATTTAAACCCACAGAAAAAAAACTATGTCGAGAAAAACCAGTTAAAGTTCCCAACAAAGCCCCTCTTTTTAATTCTAGTATCAAAAATCGACAAAGCAAGAGTCATTCTAGCACAGCTTGACAGATAAGTAATTTATTTACGTTCTTTCAAAACAGCTTGGAGAAAATATGGCACCTTTAATTTGTTTCTAAAATCCATTAAGCCCTCAACCAATAACAAACAGGCTACGGCTATAACCGTATAAAACAAAAACCCAAAGCATCTTTATGGATCTTAGAGCTTGATGGTTGCACAAATAAACGATAGCCGATATCGGCAATTAGTGTCGGCGAAACCAAGATGCAAGATAGAAACTAGCCTCAAAAAGTTCAAGAACTCGAGCATGACGGGATCATCTGATTGTTCAACAAATTTGAAGAACAGCCTTTGGGGACAGATTTTGAATTCCTTAGTTCGAACAATTATTCTTTAATTCAATATTGTACCAAAAAAAAGAATGTTTTTCTGAATATTCTTCGATAACTGTATGTCAGTTATTAAATTTGTACAAACCACGCACAGGATATTTTTGTTAGCAACAAATAAATGAAAACTTAAAAAAGAAAACTTGAAAACTAAAAAAAAATTGATTGAATAGTTAAAAAATAATAATAAAAACATTTTTACATATCTTTCTCAAGTTTTTCAATTTTTAAAAACTTTGATTCCTAAAAGGCTCTATACTCAAAGTAAACAAACGTTACTCAAAAAAACTAAGTTTTTACATTTTAAATTAAGCTACTGTAAGCTTTCAAGCAGTTAAAATAACACTGCTCGCTCGCTTTATTCGCTTGAAATCAGACAAAAAAATCAAAAATTTCAAACCGGTATTTCTCGACACTAGAATTTTTTTTTGGAAATCTTTAAATTTGGTTCGAATCACAAATGTAGGGGCTTTAATATGATATATCACTCAACCCAGTCCGATGATTATTTGTGGTACCTGATATTGCGTGGAAAACAAAAATAAACTAAAACACACCCGAATAAACTAAAACACACCCGTTTTCAATGGTCGGAACAAAAAATTAGATCTATCAAAACGATTATACCTAGTTTTGAAAAAAACACGTCAAGAAAATAGAACGCGAAACAAGCATCGGAAGAAAAATAAACAAGGGGCAACGAAGCGGAAAATGCTGCGCATAAGCCATCAAAGCTGAAAAAAATCAAAAGACAAAACAAATGAAAAATATTTTAGTACGACAAATGTTTAAAATGCTCACAACATGCCTGCAGTTTTCCAAGAGAGTGGACCAACATATAAATCCAGGAGAATAGTTCTGTGAACAAAGTTATTTACGTGGAAAAATCTAGACCCGATTGCAAAAACCTGAAATGAATTAAGTGAAAAAGACGAGAAAGAGCGGTCAATGTTCGCGCTAGAATTAATAGCGAGCAAAACCATGGTCAAGTCTTTTGAATTTTGTGGTGAACAAAAAACAGTGTGTGAAAAGTCAAAGGACTGATCGAAAATATTTCGGGCTCTGGTTTAAAATTGATGTAGAATAACGTTGACTCAGAATTCTCCGGTTAAATACCGAAATTCATGGCAGTTTGTTATTCTCCGTTGACTGGTAGTTTCCGATAATTACGGTTAATTTACGAATGAAACGGAATGTCAATCGGCCAGCTACTCGAAACCAATCAACCTCCGATAAAATCTTTTTTACTGGCAAGGTTTGTTTATTGAAAGTCCTGGAGGTGGGAGCGCGTCGGCACTTTTCATATACAGCTCAGTTTTCGTATCTGGCAAGTTCGGAGTACGTATCAGCCAGATTGAATTATTTTCTGCTGCTTTTGTAATCGGCCAATAATCAGTTTTCTGCATAACGCGGTCAACGACAAGGAACGTTAGTTTTGTATGTTTCGGATTGAATAAAAACCTTTTGTTGTTCTTCAATTGACGCGATACGAAGAAACGAAGACGCTAAAGCGTAAACCAATAAAAAAATTCTTAGAAAATATTTCAAATACTAGTCCGGAAGAGCAGTGCAATATCATAACTTCGCTAAGATAGCCACCACTAGTTTAAACTAAATTTTCCAGAGCACTTGTTAATTAAAGCACATGTTAAATTACAGTGCACGTTAGGCAAAGATGAAATGACACTGTTTAAAAAAAACTGAGAAGAAGCGGAGGTTCGCACCACTTATGATACAATACAGACAAGATACAAAATCCAAAAAAATTATAGATTTCGAAAAACCAGATCTATCGAATTGATTGAAGGTAGTTCTGAAAAAAAAACATGCCCAGACAATAAAATTTGAAACTAGCATCGGAAAAGCGTAAAAAATAGCGTAGGACGCATACGTTAATTGAAACAAAGCAATGGACATGACATTTTCATCAAAAAAATGTTTAAAACAAAATAACGAAACTTAACGCAACCTTAAAACCAGACTGGGGGCATCTAAATCAATGTCTATACCATAGATTGGACTAATTTTTAAGGTTCTCAAATTGGACTCATTTAAGTCAAAAAAATAATTTCAACTTTCAAGTTTTTTTTCAGCCAAAATGAATATATCTTCTTCAGTAATCGTACCTTTTCTGCGGAAAAACACTCTAAGAAGGCCGAGAGCACACAACTGCACTTTCTATAAATTTTTTAAAAATCTATAAACAATACTTTATTGTGTAATCATTAGATTCTTGAATAAGATTCTTGTTCAACTTAGTTATTCAATTTAAATAGCCCAAAACTATACCATTTGCTGTCATCTAAGGTTTATTCAGCGTCTATGGTTTATTCAGCGTAATTAATTAGTAAAACTCAGCCAGAAAAAAAAATCACTCAAAAATAAAGAAAACATTCGTCAAACCTGAAAAACTAAAATTGCTTGAGCAGTAAAAAAAAGAAGACAGCATTGCAACTGTAGCCAGCACCACACCATAGGGTTCACGAATTAAAAAACTATTTCAACTTAAATTTTTAGAAATACTTCGAAAACTCATAAGAAAATGTTGGTCTAGGAAGCTAAAAGGACTAGGGCGATCATAATTGGATGCTACATATACAAACAACGGGAATACCTCAAAGCTGCGCCAGCATAGGAACGAGAACTTTGGGAAGCATTTCTTTGAAATATAAGCTCGAAACCTTTTGAAAGCATCATTGAAAAAATCTGAAGCTCAAAGATTTGAGCAGTCAGATTTTGAGGCCAGATTTACAACCCATGATGTAATCCTGATAGCATTACACTATAGAGTTGGGTATATCAATCAAACTCAATGAAAAATTTCTTCTAACTTCAAACTTTCATACGTTTCTTTCAAAAAAACCTCAGATTTTTGAAAAACCTTTGCTTTCAAAAACACTTTGGCTTTTAATGCATTACAAAAAAGCGTATATGCGTAAGCCTTTTCGACGCTCTTTCTACTTTTATACTAATCATGCTTCTGAACTATAATCGATTTAATTAAGTAATTTTCAAATTGATTCGGCTTCAAGACGTATTAAAGTAGACAGCTAAATTAATCAAAAGTAGAATTCTATGTACAGAAAATAGCATCAAATCGTTTCACATCGCACAGAAAATAGCATCAAATAGTTAGCTTCACATCAAACTACACCAACCAAATCATCGGCCAGCTATTCGCATATGTTTGTAAGACTGTTTTAGCCGTGCGTCCTTGTTTTTGTAGAAATCATTGAAATCTAATCTATAGGCCAAACTTTGCAATAACTCATTTGGCTGCGATAATAAGCTAAGTAACAAGTTAGTAACTGCGTCCTTAAACGAAGTTGATACTATTTTCAACTCTGCTCTTAGCTTCGGCAAGGTTTCTTTATTGAAACTTTTCATTTTAGAACCGGCGGACTCTTTCGTTTCAGCCAAAGATGCTACAGTTAATGCCGCGTCGAAGAAGCGACTCTGCATTTGCTGATACTGAACTATGATATCGAAAATCGCTCTAATTTGACTAAGGATAAAATGTAAGTCCTGTTCTAATAAGGCACCCGAAATGATAGTATCCAAAAATGTCTGGTGCGCCGCAATGATGTGATCCAAATTTGGGGATTTGTTCACGTTTTCGAGCAACTGGGCCCAGGAACATTCTAGAACTTCAAACATAAGGTAATACTGCATCTGCAAGACAAAATTCATCATGTTTCCGTGAAGCATTTTACACTTATGAAGCACTGCTTGAACCGGGCGGCCTAGATCTCTTAAAAGTCTGACGTATGAAATTTGTTCAATCCACATTTGACTAAGAACGAATTCGATGCGCTTAGAGCGCCAGAGAAAATTGAAAATTCTCAAGTACAACAAAACGCATTGATTAGTGAAAACGGTAGAAAGAGGTCCGCCTCCTGAGACATGGTAGTGTAAGCTAAACACATCCCATCCTTTGTCCCCCGGCGACCATTCAAGCAGCCTAACGTCCAGACGCTCTAGAATTTCAGCATCATCGAACTGAGCATTGGTTGCTCTTATTGCTGTTTCTAGCGAGCTTGTCAGGCTGTGTTTGAACAATTCAGTGGCTGGTTTGTCTAACTCAACGCCTAAGATGTCCATTAGATGTCGGATAAAGTCCCCTTGACCGAATAGCAAGTATCTTCTGAAAGCTTTTAAGTGATGTACAAATTTGTACTTGTGCATTAACAGCTGCAAAACTTGGCCATTTATACTAGTCTGTCGCTCTGTTACTAACTTAGTCAAATTGCCCTCAAAGTTCTCTTCGAGATCTCTCATATTAGATTCCATGCGTTTTGAACTATCGGTCAAATCGGTTTCTTTTTCTTCAAGATATCTTTCCTTGCAGACTTGAGATATGAAATTGATCGATTTTCCAACTAATAGCATTTTGTTGGCCAGGGGTTCAGGAATAAACACTGGCAGCATCTGAAGATTAACCCAGTATTTCTCATGCCAGAGTTTTTCAGGTTTTACTTCAGGCTTAGCGGATATGAAAAATTCGCTGTAATCGTCGACTAGTTCGCCAAAAGTCAGCCAAGATAGAATCATACTAAGCAAGGGATGTAACATCAACTTCAGAATTCTTTTCATGGTTGACTTAACTTCCGGGTCCCCATGTTGTGTAAACGAGTGAACGCATGTCAATAACGCCCCGCCTTTTTTATTACGACAGTTTTCCACAAGAGATAGAATCATTTTGAATCTATGATATGCGTCATACAGCCAAACATCTAGCTGACATAGAGTAACTGATTCACCAGTATTAACACTGACATCACGATCTTGAACAACTTGTGATTCAATCGCCGCAATAAGCCGATCAAATTCACTTAGTTCGCCTTGTAAGGCACTACACAAGCTTTGACCAATCAAACCGTAAGTTTTGTCTGCAGATTTCGAGTCGATAAATTTTCGAATCTTGATATACAACCAACCCATGCTGCAAATCTTGTTAGCGTGAGTAGCAAAACTTTCGCTTACTTTACAATGACGGCTTAGCAAGAAGCGGTCTTGGTATAGAACGTAGTCAACCGAATTTCCCGGAATTCCTTGCAACGCGTAGAGAATTTCGCGAACTGTTGTTGATCTTTCATCATTTAAGCCAGGTGTTTGCTTCAACTGAAGGTTGTTAGGCCTCTGTACCACAGCCATGTTCGATGTCGAAGAGCTGTGAGGTATGGCAGGTGCTAATATCTTGAAGCTATTTGTACTATTAGATCTTCTAGCAGTACCTAAGGCTTCAGAGGCCTCACTATTCACAGGGCTAATAGTCTTGAACTTCACTGCTGATGTCTTGGATCCGAGCTTGCATAGAAACTCTAGCAAGACGCTCGGAGAACATGGCAACCTTGATGATAGCCCATTTAGACGGGTAAACAACTCTGATACCAGAACCGATTCCCTTATTTTGCCCTCAGATGCTAGAGCTAACTTCACATTTTCCATAAGAACGAAACTATCCGTTGAGCTGGTATTACTGTATGCCATCCGAGCAGCGATTCCGAAGGCATATTCTTCCAAGTTTTGCCTTTTAGATTCTGGAAGTTGAGCGCATATGATTTGAACTAAGTCAGTAATGTATGAAGAACGTTTGAAAGCATTCGGCTCCGAGCTCATATCTGAAAAAAATCTCTTTGTTCAGTTGAATTTCAACTTCGGTATACAAGCAGCAAAACTTTGAACCTTTTTTGGAGGCGAAACTGTGACTGAAAAACTAAGTTAAGTGAACATCTATTCTCTATGTAATAAAGTATAAACTAGGGGACCTTGTTTAATCTAGCTATCTGGTACATCTAAAAGTTAGCACCTTTCAATAAAGTTCGTTTATTTCTCCAAAGTGGGCATTTAAGATTTCTATGTCATCTATAATCAGTCTGTTATAGAAAAAGACTTGGCCGATAGCCAAGAAGTGACAGTTGTGAAAATGGCGGCAGCGGATGAGTTCAAAATCTGGCTGGTCTGGCCTCCCACAGCAGATCCAGAGCCAGCAAGTCCCCGAGTGTACGTCTCCTGAATCTGTTTCAACTCTTCTCTCGTCATCGACACCTTAAATGAACAAGTTGTGCTTTAGATGCAGAAAATAGGAGGTTCCAGAGGCATTCATAATGCCAAAACACCAAAATTGAGTCAATAAAAATTGAGTCAATGAAATTAATCACCGTTTGTATAAAGTTGTTGAACTTCTGAAATTTATTTTTTTGGCCTTAGAGCTCATTGAACTTGCGGAATCTTTTCTGATTGGCGGACACTTAAATTTGAGCGCGAGCAATTCTGAAGACTTTCCCTTAAAAAATTAATAAACACATAAAAAATAGGAAATCGCAAGACTTACTACGTAAAAATTCGGCGTTTTGTTTGAGGGGAGGGTGGTAATGCTCTCATTAACACTATGAGATAATGATAGAGTTACTATCAGCTTAAATGATAATGTATCGAAAGTCATTTAATCGCCATCTATAGTCCTAGACCAATTCCTAAATGATACTCTACGCACACAACCCCAAACCGATAGTTCGAAAAGGAAACTTATGCTTTGGAGGGGAGAATACTGATCCTAGATTAAATCTCCCATCTTTTCCGGCCAACCAATACGCTTCAATCCGCATCATCGCTCAACTTCAAAATGATATCACTTAAACTCGCAGCATTTTGATTTGGCTACAATGTATACAGAAGCGATCGCTAAATTGACACCCTATCTTCAACACATGGAGGAGTCCTAACTGCAGTCCAAGGTCTACCTCATAAGAAATCAAAATAGTAGAAATTACAAAATAGTAGTAGTAAGTTGCTGTGCAAGCAAGCAGCGCATATTTACGAGCACATTCGTACTTAAAACATTCGTACAAATCAAAATTGTTTTTTTTTTGTTTATAAATAGAAAAAGCAAAAGCATTGAAAGTAATGAAAATTATATAATTAGGCCTAACTGGCTACATTTCTCTCCAAAAACGAAGAGCATAACAAAAAAATTCTAACATTTTTTCTAATTTGCAGAGTATCTTTTTAACTTTAAAACTTTTTCTACAATATTAATTACCTGCTCGAAACTAGACTAAGAAGCAAACGTTTCAAGCAGGTTTTCTCAACACTAAAACATTTTGAACATTTTTCATGTCTTTCAAGTTACGACTGAAATGTTTTAATGACAAATCACTGTTCTTTCTGATGATTATCTGTGTTTCTGGATTTTGCGTGGAAAAAAGTAAAATAAAAAAACACATCAGTAGACGGAACAAATAAACATGTGTCAGAGTCAACAACGAAAGCGTTCTTATACTTATCCACTGCTTATATAACCCAAATAAGCACCATCTTACGGATTTAGCACACAAGAATTCTAGGGAATTTGGGAAACTCAGGAAGAACTTCTTGAAGAATTCTTGAAAAACATGAAATGGGACTCTGACAAGCAGTGAAAATCCTGACGTCTTTCTCTTTCAGAAGCCAGAACTAGAGCACAGATAGTAGTAGCGAAATGATTTCATCTAAATCAGGAAAAAAGGCTAACCACAAGGCACACTGACCCATTTTCCTCGTTTGAATGTAAAGTATCAATGTTACTACTAAGTAGAGTGTTTCAACTAGCAGAGTGCAAAATTGCTGTGATGTAGATGGATTGGTGAAACGTTCGTACTCATGTTTTCAGAAAACAATTGACTAAAAAATCAGGAGTTACCAAACTCCGATACGAAGTGCCGCCCTGGATCAGTTCATCAACATCCCACATGGAAAAAAAATCGATGAGAAAAAAAGATAAGTCTGTAAAACTGACGCTTCTTATCAAAATTGAAAAATTGTAGCTTCTGCTCTTAAAGGCCACGCCATCTACGAAGAAAAAATGCGCAAGCAGAAGAAAGTTATCTTTCGAAATCACCTGAGTCATCGCATAAGAATAAACAATTATTAGATGAAGAGATGAGTAAAGATAGTATATGAAGACCATGTGAAAGAGGAGCTTTTTAACCTATTCTGAAGTGTATTTTCTCACTTCAAAAAACCAGTCCCCATAATTTGAAAAAAAATCTACTCATAAATAAGCGCTAGGACAAGCGAGGAAAAAAAGCAAATCATACTGCCATTGGATGTGAACAAGACATGCACACACGACAACAATACTCATAAAAACTGCCGTATCTGGCAAGTTCTCAAAGCCAGCTTTTCAAACCAGAGTAAATAAAGGAATGTTTCAAAATATGTCGAAAATCAGCGAACTAACATTGAAATACAAAAAAAGGGACTGACGATATATTACAAAACAGACCAAAATCTTTGAGATTTGTTGTTCAGCAACCTGTACATCTTGTGCCAAATATCCAAAGCACTCAATACGAATTCATGCTCAAAAAATCAGCTGTTTTGCAGCAACTTCGTTTTCCGGACCACATTTTCTCGACCAGTCTGTCGAAGTAAATTAGAGGTAAAAAACAGGGTATTGGAAGGAAACAAGTGTTGTTCCCAAATAGGGAACAAAAGTTATGAGTTTGCTTACGTAAAAGAAGCGCAAATGAGAGCTACTTGAAGAATAAGTAACAGCAGATCAGGCTTTAAAGAGAGGCTGCGCCGCCAAAAAAATTTTGCCGCTGTCCATATTGAAAAAAAAATATATTCTGTAGTTTATTTCTGTGCTAAGTGTTAAATACTCAGCTGATTATATACGGGCAATAAGCTATGGTCTTACCCGACAAATGGAGCTTTCCAGCTATCAACTAAAAACGCGCTCCCAGGCTAAAAAAAAATACACGACAGAGAGACAGAAGCGTGTACTTCTTGGTCTGCTGGAGTAAACTATGAAATCAACGTTGATATTTGAAGGTATCGACTCAAAACATCTAAGAATCCAAAAATCCTGGGTGCTACCTATGACAACATGTTCACGTTCGGAGCAAACCGATGTAGTATTGGCACACGAGTTCAGGCCTGAAAAACATCCTTAAAACACTTGCCAGTAGCAAATGTAATTGTCAGAAAAAAACGTTAGCCATCAGTTGCAAAGCAATTAGCCGTAGAGCAATGAACTACGCCGCATCTGGTTTCCATAATTAAGCAACACCGACTGGTCAGAACTTTAGGGCAAACAAAACAATGCACTTAGAACCATAACTGGCTGTGTTAGAATGACGAATTTTGATCATTTACACGATGAAACCGAAATTCTTCATGTTCGAGATCATAATCTACTGCTAGCAAACCAGTTCTACCTCGGAAGCCATCTTCAGGGAAAGAGCAGGCCATAGAACTTTAGAATCAGGAAACAGACGCTTCCTGAAAGCAACATTGAAATCTAAATATGAAAAAGAAGTTGCCGACCTCCTGCCAACTGATTCAGTTCTTAAAGTCACTCGATACAAAAAAAAACATTAAAACAACTGCATACCAAAACTGTGAGAGATTATACTGAAAGCCACGGAGTGAACTTCGAAGCAGAAAAGACACTCACACGTGAGGCTAGGTACATGCTTGCACAGCTTAGTTTTGGCTATTCGCACTGGATTGAACCAAAAGAGGAAAATATGTGCAACTTTTGTAATCTTGGACCCAACAATATACACTATTTATTCAATTGTCCTGGCAGACCAACAGATCTGAACATCCTGTTTATGGACTGACCCCTACAAGTTGCTGAATTCCTTCAGCTCTCATAGCACTTAGGAGCGGGAGAGCTATACTCTTTTCGAGAATTAATTAGCTGACGGAGGATGCTGACCTCTCAACAGCACAAAACGCGAGAACCATTCAGTGTTAAATCAGTGACAAGTTCAGTGTTAAAACGACGTTCAAGTAACCCACACATGTGGCATGCCCTACTTATCCCGTCGGGGGCGAATAACTATGTACTGGGGACGAGACGAAACCACCAGAGAAGACCGAAATTAACAAATGTCGTCTAGAGCCAGCGAGGCTACAACAACAACAATAGTGTAGTCAGATTCGATGATTGACAAGAATCCCCAAACAACATCAGACATTCTTCCAATCCTCGTGCCACTTCAAAACTGAGAGATAAAACTTTAGGACGTTGCATTGAAGTCTATACTACTTAAAACAATGATAAATGCTAACAAAAAGCTTACCTTTTCAGGGAGTTCCTCCCAATCTGTTGGCTCGTCTTCGCCCAAATCTCCATTTCTATCAAACCTCAGCCTGTTTAAAGTGTCATAACGTGTAAAGAAATCCTCGACACGTGCGCACAGGTCAAAGTCGAGACTGAAAGAAATGTTACTCTCCCCTAGGCAAGGATTAGTTAATGAGAAACAGTGAATTAAGTTCCGAATGTTATGATCCGGTCTGAGTTTATTTGAGCTGACTCCTTGCGATAAACAGAGGAATATTATGTTCAAATCTAGTTTGCACAAGGCTTCGTGCAAAGCACGAGGACTGTAATCAAATCCCATGAAGAAGTAGTAGCATTGTCTGTTAGGCAGAGGAACTGACAGAATGTAGGACGAAATGTGTATCAGCTGTGCCAAATGACATAAGGCTGCACTTTGGTTGTAAGCTTGCTCGATGACTTCTGGCTCCAAGTTTAGGTGGCATGCAAGATTTCCAGAATCCGGAAGCTGCGCTGATAGAGGACCACTAAGCGTAATATCTCCCATGTTTTCGGATATCGACGA